TTACAGAATCCACATATTCCTGCCAGTTTTAATATCTATTTTGTAATCAACAAGTGTGTAACCCCGGTCAAAGTTTGACACTTCTCTGGCCATTATCTCCGTAACCGTTCAACTTTGGACATAGGTGTTTTGGGTTATATCGGCATACTTTAACATAAGGAACACCCTCCCGAAGTTTGGCACATTCCTCCTGGGACACCCTGTATATATATGGTGTCCCAAGAGGAATATGCCACACTGTGGGAGGATGTTCCTTATGTTAAAGTATGCCGATATAACCCAAAACACCTATGTCCAAACTTGAATGGTTACGGAGATAAGTGTGGTCTTCTGGCTGGTCCACGCACTGTAACTGTCAGCTGACATGTCTTATTGATGTTTGTCCTTCAGTGTGGTGATGACGGCTCACACTAGCCGCATACACTCGCATACCAGAATGCGCAGGCAGCTGTGTTATGTTCGTGTGTGCCATTCTTGTATCATGTATAGTGCATGGAACCCTAACGAAAACTACGACATTGTTTGCGAGTTTTTTTTTAGTTCAATTTAATGGCTTCATGTCACTAACAAGTTAGTTTGTTACGTACATTATTAACATTAAAGAAACCACATATTCCTTCCAGTATTAATATGTATCAACAAGTGTGTAACACCTATCAAAGTTTCACAATTCTCTGGCAATTATCTCCGAAACCGTTCAACTTTGGACATAGGTGTTTTGGGTTATATTGGCATATTTTAACATAAGGAACACCCTCCAGAAATCTGGCACATTCTTCCTGGGACACCCTGTATATAATTTGGCCAATTGCCTAGAGGCAGTGATGCTTAATAAGTAAAGAATCAGATGTCAGGGAACTTTCCACGAAGTAATTCAAATAGCCTGTTACAACGATGCCTAATATCACTATATATGCTCGATCCAGCTGGAACACAAACCAGTACAAGAGATGTATAAGAATTAATTCTATTGGGACCTCTTCTACTGATCAAGTGACTAAGTTTATGAAAGATACCTTTATAAATATATGGAAATTTATTATTTTCCAAATCCCATCGAGGAAATTTGAATGAATCTCTCTCTCAGAAAACATTTCAATACATCATTTAGCCAAAATTGTTATTGCTTTGTAGCGAGCTGCTTAGAGACTATCTAGAGGTTATTCATAAATTATTGCTTTTCTGAAACTTACCTCTAATTCTCCATTGACAAATAGTGAAGGCCATGTTGACAAACCTGAAAAATAATAAATAAAATGACATGAGAATGCTACACAGATGCACATTTACACTCGAAATACATCACTTGTTACAGTAATGTCAATTTCCTCTCTTTGAAAGAGCAAGGCAAGCCCAGGTACTCTCAAAGCATGGCAACCCCGCAGAACCCACAGCGTTATTTGACTGCCTGTTTAGATGAGTGGAATCAAAAGTAACTACACGTAGACTGATGAATACACGAAAAATGGGATATTAATTAAAAAAGGCTAGCGGAAATTCTCTGAAATATAGAGGTGTGGGGCAAATGGTGGAATGAGAACTGGTAGGAGAAACTGGAGCACACAGAGAAAACCCTGCCCAGTGCCACTTTGTCTGTCACAAACATTAAGAGGCATTTTCTGGGATGGAACCCGGTGAAAGAACATGGGTGAGCTACTAACCACCTGTGTTATGACACAGTCTACTCTAACCCATATTTAATATCAAATTATGTATGATAGCAACTGAGGATTGTTTTGATGCTTAGAATTACAGTATAAACAGTGTGTATTCATCTATTGATAGTGTCACTGGTGAAAGAGGATATTGTATCTGTGGGTTACGAATCACATGACAATACACGCAAGATGTTACACATTAAATGTAACTCGACTATCAGGATGGGATATTCGCCAGTTCAATGGAAAGTCATGCAGATCACATGATTCCGGAATCTGGTAGAGTGCAGCGGAAGCCAGCTCATATAGACCTGTGAGCCTACTCCCAGTAAAGAACAAAATCTTCGAAAGATCAGTACTCAAGACATTACGCCAGGTAGTAGAAGAAACCCGACTCCTCCCGGACAGAAACACTCTACCATAGAACAAGTATACTCCGAATTGCACAGATAATAAGAGGAACTGACCTGCTATGCGGCGCTCCCAGACATCACACAAGCATATGATAAATTATAGCACCCAGGCCTCTTGTTCAGAATCAGAGAAACCTTCCCTATGCCGACTACTGTATATTGGAATCATATCTAAAGGTGCCCATACACGTACGAGTCTGGCTCACGAGTCCGACTCGGCTCGAGTTCCAATGAGCCAGACTCGTCCATGTGTCTCGCAATGTTGGGAGTCAGCTCATTCACTTATGGTGAAATTAATCCGAGTCAAGCTTGCCGAGCCAGACTCGTACATGTATGGCCTGCTTAACGGATAGACCCTCTCAAGTAAAATTCAAAGAGAAAACCAAAAACTTAAGGAAAACCAAAGCAGACATACCACAAGGAAGTGTCTCAGGACCTGTCCTATTTCTTATCTATGCAAGCGACCTCCTGACATCAAACAACACAACAACTGCTACCTTCGCGGATGTTACAGCAATCTTAGCCACACATGAAAGTCCAGCGATAGCCTCAATGAAACTCCAAGCCACCATGAATAAACTTGATTAGGCGTGATTTAAAATAAATCGAAATAAATCTACGCAAATTACATTCATCCTACGCAAATAAACCTGTCCGATAGTGCAAATGCACCATGTTGAACCACCCTAGAAAGAAGTGAAATATCTGGGCATGCGTCTTGATAGAATCCTGTGATGAACAAAGCACATCTAAACCAAAAGAAAACAGCTAAACCATCAAAATCCTCCAGTGCTTTCAATCTAAGATCCTTCGACGCATTGGAACGCACTTTGTACGTAAACAACCACAGGATCCATGAAGATCTGCAAACGAAAACAGTGCTCATTGAAGTAAAGAAAGTGGAATACCAAATTCTTAAGAAAATTAGAAAAGCACACAAATGCACTAGCAGTGAACATGTTAGACAATAGCGAAACTACACAAAGACTGAAAAGATACACTGTCCTAACTCTACAAGAGAGACCTGAGTGAAACCCCAATAGAAGCATTCAAATAATATGTAATTGAAAACAAAACTAGTATGAGTTAACGCCATTGGGCATAACTCATTCACGAGCCAGTACTCACTTAAAATATATATTTATAGCACTCTGTAGATTATGTATATTAAATATGTGAAAAAGATGGGATCTTTGATCGGGAATAAAGGATTTCACAGCTGCTATATATGTTATTATATTATGTACTATGCAAGTAAACCTGCAAACAATCAGAATATACTGACAATAGACGGATAATGACTTCGACAAATGCGAGATCTGTCCTCTCGTCAGAGAGGCCGACCCATATCGAAAAGACCGTAACTGTCTGTAAGTAACTAAGACTTGGTCATGAACCTAAGAGGTGGTCAGATACCAAAACGGATGGACTGAGTGATTGTCAGTTGCGATGTGACTTGACTTTGATGTTACCTAGCAAAGACCAGTGAATCCTATAACAAACTTCGAAGTTTTTGTGCGTGCCATATTTATTTGTAGTGTGTGTAAATTAACGAGATTATTATAATCATTTGTAGTTACGATTCATAACTGTTCAGTAAATCAAGTAAAAATCCGAACCCAGTGTCTAGTCACTAAAACGTGACAATAAGTTACTTACCAGTCACCAGCATGACAGCTGACACAACTGCAACTGAAGTCACCAACAGAATGCCAAGATATATCATATTTGCCTGAAACAATGTATGGAAAAAATAGATTTATTTTTTATTACACTAACAACAAAGAAATCTACAAACTAGCAAGACTACAAAACAAAACAATTGTAGTAGAACCTCAAAGAAAGGCCAAAGGGATCCCACAGTGCATGCGACGGTGACAATATGGTCATACAAGATCATATTGTAACAAACTGTATGTATGTGTAAAATGTGGTCTGTCGCACAGCAAACAGAGCGTCAAAAAATCTAGAAACACGCCTGCAAAATGTGTAGTCTTTGGAGGTGCACATCCGGCTAATTACAGAGGATGTGAATATTATCACAGTTTGTTGAACAACCAATTAACACTAACAATAGGTAAAACATCCAACACAACGCACTAAATCAAAGTCAACCAGCTAAGTTACAGTGAGGAATCACTTTTTCAGAAGCCCTTAATGGGAAGAGAAACAAAGAACAAAACATCACATACTTAGAAGAAGCAAGGGGAAATACTGGTACGTGTTTCGTTACTGAAGACGGCGTTTGGATTGTTAATTGGTTTATTTAACAACCTTCAAGTATCGGCAATAATCATTTATAATAATGTTGCTGGTTTTCATATTTTATAACCCTATTCGCGATAATCTGTTTACACTGTTGTGGGGTTTCACACTTTATAACCCTATTCGCGATAATCCCTTCACTCTGCCTTCAGTAGTCTACACGTATTCACAATACGGGAGCTACTTAAGTGGTCTGTATCACACACTCTCAATTATACAATTACACACACTTCCAGTTCATCTTTCTGCAAACGCTGCCATACTCCAACTTTGGGCTGCTGCCTTGAGAACTAATTTCAGCAGCTGGTACACTTTAACTGCGGCGGCTCTGTAGTTCCCTTATACAGCCGCAGTGCTTGCCTGTTACATAATGAGTGCCGCTGTTGCCTGACGCTGTGTCGTCACCGCGGGGTGAGGGCAGTGATGCCCTCCTTTGCGCAATATGTCACAATATTAACAACAACCCGAATACAACTAATTTGTTAACCAAATTTCTTGAAGAATTTAAAGCAATGTTCCAACAACTCACCCAACAAAAGAGCATGCTATCAACGTTAATATCTAAAATCCATTAAATTCATGAGAATTGCACTATGGATCGCCAACGGCCTTCTGCAGCAAAAAAATGAACTAGAGATATTCCTTCAACACAACTTCATAGACATTATACTGATAAGTGAAACTCATTTCACTGAGAGATCTTACTTCAATATACCAAAGTATTTAACCTACTCCACTAATCATCCCGACACTACAACACATGGAGGAACTGCTATATTAATAAAAAGAGCTATTAACCATAATGAGCTCCCCAAGTACAAATTAAATCACCTAAAGGCCACAGTGATAAAGGTATAGATGACCCAATATGAGTTAACTGTTTCTGCAGTTTACTGTCCACCAAAACCTATCCTCAAAAAAGAGAACTTTAATGATTTCTGGAACACATATTTGTAGCAGGCGGAGATTATAATGGCAAGAACACCTTATGGGGATCTTGCCTAAAAACGACCAGAGGCAGAGAATTATCGAAAACACTACAAGAGCAAAAATATTCGCACTTGTCATCAAGCACGTCGACATATTGACCAACAAATCCCAAAAAAATCCCTGACCTCTTGGCCTTCTTCGTTACTAATGGAATTTCTTCAGAGTACATATATGTGGTACGCAATCTCGATCTCTCTTCAGATCACACACCAATTATAGCCATTGTCAGTAGTCACGCTTTTCACAAAACACCAAGAAGTAAACTGCACAACAACAACAACAACAACAACAACAACAAACAAATTGGGAAAAATACAGGATGAAACTACAAGAAGATATAAATCTAAATGTGAGACTCAAGAGCCCAATGGAAATCGACAGCAAACTAATCTCTCTAATCAACACTATAAAACAGGCTACCCAAGAAGCTACACCTAAGATCACCTTCGAAAATAACACAAGGAATATTCCAATTGAAATTAAAAACTCGTAGCTGAGAAGAACAAGAACAAGAGGAAGGTGGCATAGAAGTCAAGCACCAATAGATAAAACAACATATAACCATATAAGTAATAGGCTGAAGTGTAAAATTAAAGAGGCAAGAGAAAGATCCTTCTCTAACCATACAACCAGCCTCAACAGTTACAGTTACAGTTTTACAGTTATGGATGTAAATAAAATTATGAATTATGAATTATGAACAGATATGACAATACCATTTGGAAACGCAAAGACACAGATACATTCTATAAGAAATGAAATTGCGCCGCAAACACTGTGGGCAAGAAGTGATGAAGTAGAAGCTGCTATGTTTGCTGAATATCTTGCTACAGTTTATACACCATATGATGACCAGACTGATAAAGAAATAGAAAAGCAAATATCTGAAAATATCAGCATTGTACCAGAAATAAAATTTGTTACAGTTAAAGAAGTGCAAAACGTAATAGCATTCCTAAATTCAGGAAAAGCACCTGGCATTGATGAAGTGACTCCTATAATGTTAAAAGAAATGTCAAGAAAAGTGTTCGTACTTCTCACATATATATTTAATGCTATTCTCAAACATAAATCATGGCCAAATCAGCTAAAATCAGCAGAAATATTCCCGATCCCAAAACCAGGCAAAAATCTTAATAGTGTGTCATCCTATCGTCCTATAAGTTTATTACCCATCATATCTAAACTCCTCGAAAGACTTCTCTTAAAAAGAATAAGGTCTGACCCAAATACAGAAGAATGGATACCACCACATCGATCTGGTTTTAGAGAAAACCACTCCACTGTACAGCAGATACATAGAATAATACACAAAATACACCAAGCATTAGAAAATAAAGAATACTGCACATCGGTCTTCCTCGATGCAAGTCAAGCCTTTGATAAGGTATGGTATCCAGGACTACTGTACAATATAAAAAATATCTGCCCATCACTTATTTCCACTTACTATAATCCTATATATATGTGGCAGAGTGTTCAGAACGAGAATCAGTGATAGTATATCTAACAATTTTGCAATAAAATCAGGTGTACCACAAGGCAGTGTCTTAGGCCCACTACTTTATTTAGCAGACCTACCAGTCAATGCCAACACAACAATGGGCACATTTGCAGATGATACCGTGATCCTCTCGGCCAACACAGCTCCAGCAATAGCTACCTTCACTTTGCAATATCATCTAACTCAAATACAAGAGTGGACAAATACATGGAAAATAATAATCAACGAAACCATGTCAGTGCAAGTAAACTTCAGTCTAAGAAGAGAACAATGTCTTGCAGTTTTCTTTAATAACATAGAAATACTTGAATCAGCCAGCACAAAATTCTTATGTATTCATCTAGACAACCATCTAACCTGGAAGGAACACATTACTAAAAAACGCAAACAGATTGATTTAAAAATCAGAGAGATGCATTGGTTAATTGGAAGAAATTCCAGGCTCTCATTAGAGAACAAAATCTTACTTTACAAAACAATAATAAAACCAATTTGGGTACATGGAGTGGAAATATGGGGATGTGCTAGCAAAACCAATATTTCCATAATCCAAAGATGTCAGTCAAAGATACTATGTATAATTACTAACGCCCCATGGTATGTTTCGAATATAACACTCCATGAAGACCTGAAAGTGCCGCTAGTAAAGGAAGTTATAAAAGGGAAAAGCAGAAGGTACCTCAACAAAATAGAAGGACATGAGAACGTACTAATGCAACCGTTACTGGAACCACACAATGGACGAAAACTAAAAAGGAATTGGCCAGCTGACCTGAGAGAGGGTTAACGAGGACTTATCTATGGATAAGCCCTCTCCACGTCACGGGGAATGCTACAGCTAATTAGCTTACAGAATCAAATGTAATTCTGATTGCTAATATTGTCTAAACAAAAAAAGTCTTTTATTACCAGGCAACAAATCGAGATTCTTCCGTCATTTCACCTGTAAATATGTGGAATCGTGAGAAATTATTTTCCATTTTCATCTCACTCGCGAGGCCTTTGCAGAAATGGCCTTGAATGACTCCATATATGATATCCAAGAACCGTATAAGGATTTCAGTTTATCTGTCATTTTCTCGGAAAAGCATGGTCAACACCGGACGAATAGGTAGGTTCATTTGGAGGCGTCACCAACATATACAAATTACATTGATTAAATTCGGAGAATATTTCTAGTATGTCGGCACTAATCTGTTTGGTCATGGCGGCAGCACAACTGGAAGCAGGGGACGGCTGTTTGTGTTTTGGAACTTGTATCGAGCACCAATTCTTGTTGTTGGGGGCGGGGGAGGTTACTGCCATCATGGATAAGGTCGCTGACGACGTTGCAGTGGGTCGGTTTGCTTCCGTTCTCAAGGGTATATTCAACAAAGAAGCCGTACTGCATCTTTAAGAGACTAGTGATTCTCCGGAGAACCAATTCATGAGCCTGTTTCCCCTCCCCTTTGTGGTCATGAGATACGCAGAGCGAGACAATACAATTTCTTGTTGCTCAATCCCACATGTGGACAAGGTGTGAAGTGTAGACATTGCTTTGCAGGTGAACATACCATCAGCAATTATCCTACCCCAGCCCCATGGTCCACTGGTGATTTCGTGGTAAGTTCGCAAGGATCACCAGAGGTACCAATTTTAGCAAGGAAAAAGTGTCTTCTGTTCGAGCCTTGCAAAGTGGTTCAGTTCAGATTTCAGTGTGGAACGTTAGCCAGAAGGCAACAACATAACCACGGAAGTTGAAGAATCTCCATTGTTAAGATTCGTTACCAGGAAACGTCTAGTGAAAACACTGTAGAGGAATGGCCATTGTTGAGAACTGTTAGAGGCACTATGATACGAATCGGAAGGCCGCGAGTTCAATTTCCAATTAGGTTATTGGATTTATGAATTGACTTAATAATTTCGGATGCACTATGGCAGTGCGGTTCGCCTCAGCTCCTAACAGAAATTAATACCAGGAATCTACTTGGGAGGTAAAGG